AGTTGCACATTTCAATGATTTTTAGAGGTTTAATTTTCAAAATGTTGATCATTATCTTTTTCAGATACTCATAAGACAGCCTGGGCCAGTAAAAACACTGTATAATATAAACACTTCTCAGGCATTAGCCATAGTAAACTGTAAAGCAAAGCAAAAGAGACTGTAAATTTCAGGCAGGACAGAGTGCTTACGCTGCAGGCCGCTCTGAGCAATCAATGGGCTGCTGTTTTTTTCTAGAGTTCTGAATAGGACAGTAACGAGTAAAGGGTAAAACAGAAGGGAGGAAGGTGCTTATGAAGTCAACCATCCGTCATCCCGTGCTCACTGCATTGCGCCTACTGTGGTGTGGTGAGAGCCATGTGTCAATTATGTTCTTCTTTTCTCAGAACACAGCCTCCCACCCCAACAGCCGCCTTCTGTGTTTCTACTCCTTTCCGCTCTGATCAGTCCTATGTCCTGCGTATTTCTTATCGCAAATCCTGGAGCTCTTTTTCTTTGCCCTTTCTCCATATGTTCTCTCACTCTTATATCATTCTCAATGGGAAAGCACTGGTGACTTCTGCCTTATGAAGATTGTCCAGTGTAAAAAAATAATATTAAACCAGTATTTTTGTTTTGTTTTCCTGTAATTGCAAATCAAATTGCAAAAAAAAATTAATAAAACAGACTTATGACTTGCATAAACCAAGTAAAAAAAAGATTGCGTAAAATGTTTTGTTAATTTGTCCGTAAGGTAAAATAAATAAATCAATAATAATTCATGATATTCTTGAAACAAGATGTAATATTGTAATGCCATGCATTTTCTAGAGCATTTTTTTTTAATGATGCCTAGATATTTTTACTGAAAAACAAACATAAAATATTCATTAAAATGTTTTATTTGGCTGTTTCCCAGTTCAAATGATTATGTTTTGGTATTTTCTGCCATGTATTTTTGGTTATATGTTTTGTATTTAAACCAATTACAGCTGAAAGATGACCTGGGTAGGTGATATAACTTTAATGAAATAATACATGTATTTGCTTGGACATGGGATTTTCTTGAATTCCTTACGATGGCATGAAATTTTAAACAGCATAGGAACATCTTTGCCCTTTCAATTGTCATGCAATGTGACCTTGGACCTTACAAAGTGTTTCTCTTCTACTGTTTGAATTTTTGAGCTGAACTGAGCTGCAGGTATAACACTCTGCTCATATTTAAACTCAGGCTCCAATAGCTTAGTGACAGTTTACATCGAGCCGAAGGAAATGCACCTTTTGTCCAAGTATACTCTTACCGCAAGGCTTCCCATGGGAATCCATATAATCAGGGGGATGTGCCCAATTCATTTATGCACGTCATTGCTCTTTGTTCTGAGAGCAAACAAGATCTCTATGCAAATCAGAGACTGCTGAGATCGGTGCAAACAGGCATTGACCAATTTTACAGTACGGCGAGCTCTGTTTAAAATCAATGCAAGCTTCCCTCCCCATATGTCACGTGAAGCATCAAAACATCCAACATTGTTCTTCACCGAGAGAATCAGTTAACTACGTTCAGAATCAACAACATAAATTGATGTAGGATATTTTCCCTACAGCACTGTTGCGAGATGCGCCTTTGTGCTCGTAAAACGTGCGCAAACACACACACATACCACACCATCCACACGGGCTCTATTGACAGTTTAGTAATAGTATTTTCTACAGAAAGCGCTACCTTGATGAGCTTGCACCTGATCTGCGCCGACACCATGTGGCTATTCCTGAGATTCCCGACCCTAAACATGAGGCAGAGCTTCCCGTCCCGTTGTGAGATGACCGCGTCCTGGCTGAACATGAGGGTCTCTGCGCGTTTCTTGGGCTGGGACATCTTAATGAACATACAGCCGATGAGAAATGCGTCCACGATCGAGCCCAGCAGCGACTGGAACAGGAAAAGTATGATGCCCTCCGGGCACTTCTCCGTTATGTATCGGTACCCGTAGCCTATAGTCGCCTCAGTCTCGATGAAGAACAGGAAAGCGGAGGGAAAGTTGTAAACGTTGGCGACGCACGGCGTGTACGATTCGTCGTGGCCGTGGCCGAGGTCCCCGCGGATGTACGCGATGATCCACCACATAGATGCCATGATGAGCCACGCGACTGTGTACGTTAAAAGGAAAATAAGCAGGTTCCAGCGCCACTTGAGGTCCACGAGCGTGGTGAAGAGGTCGGAGATGTACCTACTGGTCTCACCGCCAAGGTTACCGTGCTGGACATTGCATCGCCCGTTTTTCTCTACGAACCTCTGGCGCTTTCTTTTGGCCGGGGCAGAAAAGGACATTGCCCGGTTGGTGTTAACAACCTGATAGTCTTCGCCGAATTTTCGCCTGATCGTAGACATGATGCGCGAGCCACAATTGTCAGGTAAATACGCTAGAAGGATGTCTTAAGTTTCGCGCTGGTGTGTATCCACACGTACGGCGTAGCGCTCCATAGATCGACAACTTCACACTCTTGCAGCCTTTCAGTTAAGATTATCTATGTTATCCACAAATTATTAAAATGTATGGATGTGCAAAAAAAAAAGTAATTTAGTAAAAATAAAGCAAGTGCTCGCGTGTCCTCCTCGCAACTTCTCTCAGCTTGGAGATGTGAAGTGTAGATAAACTGCGACACTGAATCTGAACTGACGCGCGCTTCATCTGCCTGTACGCTTAGAGAGAGAGCGAGAGAGAGAGAGCAAATGTGCTTGTGTGTGTGTGTGTGTTCCAATCATTGAGCAGCAGCAGTAGTAGTGTGAGGAGAAAGGGGTCGTTTCTCTTGAGCATGTGTGTCTGCTGTAAAATACTAGCATTACAGTGCCATCTGCTGAGGGCATATATACAGATGAAGACTCTCCAAAAAATAAATAAAATTTAAGTGATGTTTATCAAAATCAAATGTGACAGGAATGTATAAAAGTTAACAATAATCAGATTTCCAATTTAAATAATGACAAAATAGGCTACAATAAAATAGACAAAACAAAAAAAATATATGAAAATCTATAAGGGTATATATTTTTTTGTATTTTTGAAAGAAATTCAGTACAGCAAGTGTTACTATGCTTTTTATTT